TAAAAAAATCATGAAAATTATAATTCTTATCAAATGAATTTTATACGTGATAAAATTATATTTTTTTTAAAAAAAATTGAGTTTTACTCAAAAAACTAGTATTTAATATTATTTATAACACTACATAAATTAGAAGGATATCGTATAATGACGTAGCATTTGTGAAATTCGATTGCAATTCCAATTATGTTCTTGTTGGGTCCGGCCCAGTTAAAAAAATTCAGTTTTTATTTTTATTTTAATTGTGATTTATTCAAAAAAATTAGAAGGATATCGCTTGATAATATAACAAATAATTCAATTTTTGTTGTTACATATTTGAGAACCCATGAAAAATATAGTCATTATTGAATAGATTTTGTACATGATGACATTGCATATAGTTTAATGGAATAATAAAAAAATATTTAATATTAATATTATTTATTTCATGATGTAATAATAGTAGTTAAATCTACAATATATATATATATATATATATATATATATAACTTCAATGCATCCATGTCAGAAAAGCCCGGATATCTTTAGAAATGAAGTCAATTTAAATGAATCTTCTCCACCTTAATTACAGTGTGAGCTAGCCAACATGGATGGTTAATTTATTTACAAGTGATAAAACTTGAATTTTTTCTAACATTTTCCTGCCATGTATATATATAATACATCTGATGCATGTTACAACAGAAATTTCATAAATACAACATTTCAATTTATTATTATTATTATTATTATATATAATAATAATAATAATAATAAATTGAAATGTTGTATTTATGAAATGTCTGTTGTAACATGCATCAGATTAATACATCACTAACCAACCTGGCTAATAAAAACATTGCTTTGCGCCTTTCCTGCTAATATTAATTTATAGTAACGTGGCTGTATGCATGTGACTGCTTTTCTTTTTCATGGTCGTGATTATTTTGCCTTCTTGACTAATGTTCTCCCTTGTCGCTTTCAGAATTGATCTCCTCTTCCTTGCATGCATTGTGTCAATCACGACATAAATCTGTCTGGGCTGCACAGTGTCATCATACAAATACTAATGATCTTGAATTGAAAAGTACATACATCACCAAACTCATTAAAATCGGCTGTTTTAAGGCATATGTTATAATTATTGAATCGTATACAATATAGTTTCTGATCAAATCAATCATATTATAAGTTATTTTTGTTAAATTGACTTAATTAATCATCATATACAATATACTTTTCGATTATCAGAGTATAAATTATTTTATAAAATTGTCTTGATCCATTATTATATAATGTAGATTGAAATTTAATCTGAATTAATTAACTTATGAACAAACTAATTTTTTATCAAATCAATAAAATCTCAGAATGTCTTGTTGATTGACTTAATAAATTATTATATACAACATAGTTTTCAATCATATCAATCAGATTATGAGTTGTTTCATTAGATTGATTTTGATCCATTATTATATAATTTAAATTAAGATTTAATCCAAGATAAATTCTGAATTGAACAGGACGAACTGGATATAACAACATTGTAGTAATAGATCATACTCAAGATCATGATGCCCATCTTCGAAAGATTGACCTTGCCCGCTAGGATGCCAAATTTGATGCCGAGATGAAGGGGTGCTGGCTGAGCCAATCTCCTCAGAAACCTGTCGTCTATCTTGGCGACCGCTATGAATAATAAGATGAAATGGGGCCTCTTGCCAAAGGTGGGTGGGGAATAATTAATGAGCCTTGAGGTATGCAATGCAACCATGGGGAAAAGGATTTTATGTTACCAATTCACCAGAAGCTTAGCCGCCGGCCAAACTTGCTCGGACATGTGCTTATGTTGTCTTTGTTTGTGCGTTGCTGTATTTTAGAAGTTTTTATTTTAATATATTTTTAAATAAAAAACATTTTAAATAATAACATCTATTATAATATTAAACACGGTTTTATAACACAATTATTATTCATCCATTCAATTGAGGATTATTTATTATCTTAAAAATTTATTATTTTTTCAGTTTTTTTATTAAGTAACACATAATAGGTTGATCTTAAACCAATCCAATCATTTTAAATTAACAATTCATATAACTTTTGATTGGCTCACACCAATTTTTATCGATTCACGAGATAATTAGATTAATCTAACGAGTTTGTATAACAATAGAGTTTTTATAACAATGTTTTTATAAAGAATTTATAAATAAATTTTCTATTTGACTCCAATTTAGATTCGTATACCGATCAAATACTAATATGGAGAGGATAGATGATGGCCCCCCTACTATCGAGGTATGCATGCTAATTATTTAACGACGGTTGACGAGCTGATGTTACTATCGAGTAGTCATGATGGGTCTTGTGCTTAGATTCGTTAATAGATATTTAACAATAATTAAGGTCAACAGTGGGATGGTCTGATTTATTTAACAGTTTTTCACGAATCTAAGACAGATCACGAGCATGATTTTGCCTTTCTATTCAAGGAAAAAAGAAGAAGAATTTTCGTGTTGGCAAGCAATCTTTGATTCTGGGATAATTATATATACAAAAAAGTAATTAGTTTTAAAGGATATATAGAGGATTAATTATAATCATAACCCTACAAAGATCTTTTCTCATAGACAAAAACAATTTAAGCCCTAATATGAAATATTTATTGAGATTTGAATTCATACCATGCAATTCTCTTTCTACCACCCACAGAAAATAATGCAACTCTCCTGCCAGCCAGCCAGCCAGCCAACGACCACCTGCAATTCTCTTTCTACCACCCACAGAAAACAATGCAACTCTCCCGCCAGCCAGCCAGCCAACGACCACAGTCCCCGACCCTCCATTCCCTACCTCTGCTATCTGATTCCGAAAATACTCGAAAATAAATCAAAAAAATCATTGAAGAAAGGCAATTGTGCAAAAGAAACAGGACATGAAACATTCTGATCAGGGTTTATTTCATGCCCTCAGAAACCCTAAAGCAAGGCAAGTCAAAAGGGGGAGATTCCCACCATCAGTTCACATGTGGACATTTTAGTCATCTTCACAAACCCTCTTAGTGCCAGTCCCCGTCCCATTCTGTCTATGCCTGCAAGGGCCATGGCTAGGAGCTGGTCAGTCAACACGAAAATAGTGTCCCAGCATGTAACATTTCTGCCCAAATTTTTCACTCAATTATTGAGGGTAACATTGATGACCTTAACCACTTCGTTTAAAAGCATAGCTATAAATCCGTAAAGCTTCCGAGTCAATCCGACAACTCATTAACTCCAAATTCGATCTAGGTTTGCTTTTATCTTAAACAATTTTTGTTACTAAAACACTCTAACATCATTTTATGATTATTTTTTAAATCAAAACTTGGGTTATTTCGTGGATTTCCACTCCAAGTTTAGTAATTTAGCTATGTTTAAAATAGCTCATTAGACGACTGGGTAGCAATGGATTTTGTTAAAAAATAAAAACAAAAACTTAATCTTCTGCAGCAGATGCCTTTCCATCATTCTTTGTCTTCGAATGATGCTCTCGGCTCTTCGCTATGCAACAAGACACGGGCTATGGATTCTTGCATGCAGGGACAAACAAGGGAGTCAGCTCCATTACACTCTCCAATACACATATTTAGTATAATATTAGACAGGCGTGGAAGTTAACATTAGTTATCCAAAATGTTTTTACAGAAGACAATCGATGTAATATTTTATCTCTAATTAAACCACAAACTAGAATAATGTAAAATAATTTAAATACAAATGTAACATGGAAAGATAAAGGAGAATTTGCAATAATTTTCTAAATTAACATGGGTGCTTGTATGGCTTACATGTATCTCGACTAATTCTATAAACCTTAAAATTAATAATTATATAAATTTTTAGTGGTCGTAAGATTTGCGAGATTCGAACTAATAATTTTTAAAAAATAAATTTAAAATCTAACCAATTAAACTATATTATTGAAAATTAGAATATACAATATTTATGTTTGATGTGGTGGTGAAATGCCGGAAAAAAAAAAGAGTGCATTGAAAGAAATAGAATCCAACAATGTTTTGCACCATGAACTTGAACTGTCATCGGTTGGACAAATCAACAAATTAGGTAGAATTGATAATTTTTTTTAAAAAAATTATCATGAATAATGTTGTTTTAAATAGAAAAATAATAAAATATTATTTTTAAAAAAATTAACCAGATTTCAACCAAATTACGAGATTAACTAATCAAAGCTCAACCAGGTTTCTCTATACTAGTTGCGGTAAAAAAAAAAAAAAAAACTTGACCCAATCTAAAAATTAAATTAACAAATCATCGAATGGAATTCGAAATAGCAAATGGAGGAAAGTAAAAGGAGGAAAGGTGAAGAGGAAAGATCCATAACAAGAGAAAAGTATACCTGTATTAAGATGGACGTTACTCACTTGCCTAACCTTTTTCTTATTCTTTTTGTCTACATAATTTCCTTTTATTTCAACACTTCGAAGTCCCTTTTGCCAATATTTTGATCAACTTTCATATACTAAAAAATAATTTTATGTTCTATCGACAACTTCTTTAGATAAACAATCATAAAAATTTAATTATTTAAAACTCCTTTTTAAGTTCGATTAGACAGCAAATCATTTACTCTTCAAAATCGCTGTACCTTCTCATTTACGGGGAAATTGTATACTTTTTGGTAATTAGTTTTAAAACAATTGAAATTAATAATTTTAAAAAAATCATAGTTATTCAAAAATTGATTTAAATTAATTTTTAATTTAAATTATAAAAATTATTAACTTAATTTTATGATTTAAAAGATTAATGATAAATATATTAATTTGACTAAACAATAAATATATTAATTATGCTAAAAATATTAGTAAGAAATTTATTTATTGAAGAGATCCATATTTAGCGATAAACAATAACTATGGAAAGTGGTTTCTGGTAAAACTGAAATTAACATTAAAACTTATATTTCTTGGCATCAATTATTTTTCTCTTTCCAATTCTTTCCTTTTTGCGCCGACACCCAAAACAAAACACAAACACAGTTTCTCACTCACGCTATAAACAGTATCTCTCTCTAGCTGTCACTGTCTTTATGGGCAACGTCTCTAACTACTGACTGTGATCTCCAGCTCATTAACATACTCTTCTCTTCTTCTTGTTTGCTTCTTGGGTCTCCACATTTGACGAAACCATGAGCTTTTCCCTCACTTGATCAAACTGATCACCACCAACCTCTAAAGTCTAAACTAGACTGAACAAACACACCCCAGAAGAGAAAAACACCGAACTTGATAAGTTTGTCGGTAAAAGCAATGGCATTGAAGCACTTTGAGTTGCTTTTGTTTGTGTTTGTGGTTAAAGTTTTGATCTCTGGTTTCCCAGTTCTTGTCCAATGTACTACTGATCCTAATGATGGTAAAGTTTGCATTTTTTTGAAATATTTTTTAATGGGGTTTTGGTTTTCTGACTGATCGATTGTTTTTTGCTAGTTTGATGGTGATTGGTGCGGTTAAAGTTATTGAATTTTGGTTGTTTCTTTTTCTTTGGTTGGAGTGAGCTAGAGTGTCAAGAAATGAACTTTGACTACGATAATCTTTTTGTTTTTTATTTTTCTTTGGAAGATCAGTTTATTTTGTGTTTGTTTCCAAGGAAAATGTGCTGGCAATGATGTTCTACCTTTTGTGTTTAGCTCATGAAAGTATGATAGTCTCTTTTTTTTGTGGCTAAAGTAGGCTAATAATGATTGAAATGCTCTCTCATTTCATTAAGATTGCAATTTTTGTTATTTATTTTCTTTCATTTCGCAGTGAAATAATCAAGGGTTTATGTCGGCGGCTTTTTTTTAGGGGTTAAATTAATTGGTTTTGAGGATTGAAGGTATTTTCTGTTGCTGCAGTTCAAGCTCTACAAGCTATGTACTCTTCACTGAATAGTCCTTCACAGCTGACCAGTTGGAAAAGTATTGGTGGTGATCCATGTGGAGAGTCATGGAAAGGGATCACCTGTGAAGGATCAGCTGTTGTTTCCGTGTAAGAAAGTTCATTGAGAATTTAGGCTTTTAATTGATTGGTGGTTTGCTTTGTTTCTTTTGTTCAATGGTTTTGTGCTGCTGTTGTTGACAGTCAGATTTCTGGGTTAGGACTTGACGGGACAATGGGATACATGCTTTCAAACCTCATGTCATTGAGAACATTGTGAGAGATTTAATGCTTTATTTCATCTGTTGGGTGTATGAAATTGTATTATTGCTTTCATTGGTTATTTGAGTTGCTGATATCAGCTGTTTGTGCGTGCCAGTGATCTAAGTGACAACAACATTCATGATCCACTCCCATATCAGTTGCCACCGAATCTTACAAGCTTGTAATGTTCCATCATGTCAATTGTTTCTAATTTCTTCGAGCTGTTGATTTTCTTGTTTAATAATGTCTTCATTCTATTCTTGTATAATGCAGAAATCTTGCCATAAACAACTTGAGTGGGAATCTTCCTTATTCCATTTCTACCATGGTTTCTCTTAGCTACCTGTGAGTGACTCATCTTGAATGCATTGAAGCTTTGTCAAGAAATAGCAGAATTTGGGTTATTCGCTGATTCAACATCTTTGTTTTCAGGAATGTAAGCCGTAATTCGCTGTCCCAGTCAATTGGAGATGTTTTCCATAATCTTTCTCTCCTCTCAACCATGTGAGATTTCTTACTTTAAAACAGATGTTATTTGGGTTTTAATTTTCATTATAAATTTAATCTTTAGAATACATGTGCACCTTACTGTTCAGTACCATGCAAAGAATTATGATGGCTGATGGAAAAGCCACAGCATGATAATATCTTCACAAACTTGACTATTCAAAGGTAATATAAGAGGAAGGGAAGCAGCACAATAAGAATGATCTACAAGTGGCATAAGTTCAATAGTGTTAGGCTGTTGAGGAGATTAGGGATCTGTTGAAGCAGAATTCACTTTATTGCAGAGAAATATATTTTGTTAGGAGAGATAAATGAATGGTAAAGGGAAGTGCCAAGCAGGAAAAGCAAAACTATGGTGTTTTGGTGTCTAACATGGTGGACAGATAGTGCCAATCAGAGAACGATCAGGAAAGCATATTTCATCTATATGAATTGTATCTCATTTGCCTACCATGGGGGCTTTTGTCATGTTATTCTTTGATTTTCTTCCGTTTCCAGCACAATATAATGCCCTTATATACTTTTTCAATGGATAGTACTCTTGGATGTTTACTATTGCTTGTGCATGCATGCAGGGATGTCTCTTTCAACAACTTCAGTGGAGATATTCCCAGTTCCTTTAGTTCATTGTCTAATCTTTCTACACTGTGAGTTGATTGCTGACTTCTTTCAAAATCACTAAATAACATATATATTGAGCAAAAGAAAAGGATTGCAGACTCTTGGACATTTTGATTAAAGTCTTGTGATATTCTTAAACTTTGCAGCAATGTTCAGAACAATCAACTGACAGGTTCTCTTAATGTTCTTACTGGTTTGCCTTTGACAACTCTGTAAGTTCCTAAAGCAATGGTGGGATTGTAAATGTATCATCTGCCAATATGTTCTTATCGCACCTTGTATTTTCAACAGAAATGTTGCAAACAACAATTTGAGTGGATGGATACCTCAAGAGCTTAGTTCAATCCCAAACTTTATGTAAGTTTTCATGCTCTGTATGCCCCCCCCATGCCAAATTTATTATGTTCTGCTTTTGCAATATCTTAAATAAGCTCTTTGAATAATTAAATCAGATACAATGGTAATTCTTTTGACAATGGTCCTGCTCCACCTCCGCCACCATATACCTCTCCACCTCCTGGTAAATCTCACAGAAACCGTACTCATCCAGGATCTGGTGCACCTAGGACCCCATCTTCTGATGGTCAACCATCTGAGTCAGATAAGGGGAAATCAGTGGGAGCGATTGCAGGCGTAGCCCTAGGTTCTGTGGTTCTGGTTCTCATTGCACTCCTTGCTCTTGTCTTTTGCCTTAAAAAGCATCAAGGCAAGGAAATTGATCCTCTAGCTTCCCGGGGAAGTCGTCCTGCTGATACATATTATAGTAGGTTTTCTGTCCCTTGTATCTTTATTCTTCTGACAGAACCTTTTGAATTTTCAGAACCACTTTTTTGCCTAATTGGTTTCATGTGGGGTTGCAGTATCTATAACTCTGTAGTATCCATTAGGCAATTAGACTAGTGTTTCTAAATCCTGACATCAGTCAAGTTCATTTTCTTTAGACACTTCAAAAGTCAATCTAAATTAAGATTGAATGTGATTAGCTGTTTGTCTGCGTGTTAATGCAAAATATAATGCTGAATCCCTCCTTCATTCAACATGCTTCAAAATTTGGTTGCTTAATAGTTTGAAGCTGGAAGCTCGTCTAACAATCCTAACCACTTGGGTTTTTACACTGCATTGTTGCTTTGTTTTTCTAGCTGGTGCAGAGATGCAAGAGCCGAGGGTGAAAAACATGGCTGCTGTTACAGATCTGAAGCCCCCACCTGCTGAGAAATTGGTGGTTGAGAGATTACTAGGGAATTCTGGATCCATAAAGAGAATGAAGTCGCCCATCACTGCCACTTCATATAGTGTTGCTTCTCTTCAAACAGCAACAAATAGCTTTAGTCAAGAGTTTATAATTGGTGAAGGTTCTCTTGGTCGTGTTTACAGAGGGGACTTTCCTCATGGAAAGGTAACTTAATCATTGGATATAAAATGATATCTATGTTCTTATAGTTATGCTGGTTTCTGTACTTGTATTGGTATGAATCAGTGGAGCTGCCAGTATTGCATGCACTTGAAAGGGTCCTGTTGCTAGCCATATTGATCATGTTTTTTGTGCTTGTTGAGTCGTTGACTCGCCTTTATCTAGTAATTTGATTTAATTCAAGGTTCTTCTTTTGATAAAAAGGACATTAAAATAAAGCCATCTTGAATGTGAGAGTTTCTCTTCACTCAGTTTTCTGGTTGGGTTACTTTTTTGTTTTTACAGATTCTGCCAACCTCTTTAGCAAGCTAACTAATTAACTTATGTTCTGTTGAGCTAGATAATGGCTGTTAAGAAGATCGACAATGCAGCACTGTCATTACAGGAGGAAGATAACTTTCTTGAAGCTGTTTCAAATATGTCACACTTGAGGCACCCAAACATCGTTTCCTTAGTAGGATACTGTGTAGAGCATGGGCAGCGACTTTTGGTTTATGAATTTATAGCAAATGGGAGTCTGCATGATATACTGCACTTTGCTGATGATGGCAGCAAGACTTTATCTTGGAATGCACGTGTTAGAGTAGCACTTGGGACTGCCCGGGCTTTAGAGTATGTTATCCATGTGTGCTTTATAATTCTCTCATACAGCTCGCCCTACATCCTCTCTTAACTGTAGCCTGCTTACTCAGGTACTTGCATGAAGTCTGTTTGCCTTCTGTTGTACATAGAAACTTCAAGTCAGCAAATATTTTACTTGATGAAGAACTCAATCCCCACTTGTCAGACTGTGGTTTAGCTGCTCTGACACCAAACACAGAGAGACAGGTAAAGCAAAAGGATTGAATAGTATTATGTGTTGTCAATGCAAACTTTCATTAAGTTCATGCTTTGTGGAACTTTTGGTTAACGATCTCTTGTTGTGTTTGGACTGACTAAGTCTACTATGACTCACATTGACAGGTTTCAACACAGATGGTTGGCTCATTTGGTTATAGTGCTCCTGAATTTGCCCTGTCAGGAATATACACTGTAAAAAGTGATGTCTACAGCTTTGGGGTGGTAATGCTAGAGCTATTGACTGGTCGGAAGCCACTGGACAGGTATTGTTTCTCTTGTTTGCTGATCTATTGTGCTTTAGTTCTCTAGACTTGTTTAGGCATTTATTTTTCTGGTTATTCGTGAACTTGGTTTATATGTATCCCTTATCCAATTTTTTGGGTTTCATAGTTCAAGGGTGAGATCAGAGCAGTCACTTGTTAGATGGGCTACTCCTCAACTGCATGACATCGATGCCTTGGCAAAAATGGTTGATCCTGCCCTGAATGGCATGTATCCTGCAAAGTCTCTTTCACGTTTTGCTGACATCATTGCCCTGTGTGTTCAGGTAAGCTTCTAATCTGATGACAAGGCTAAAAACAAACCTATCTTTAGCTTTCATGAAAAATCAAGCCTGTAAAGGACGGAAGACAGTTTATTCTACTCTTAAGAATTCTGAAATGGTTATCTGGAGTCATTTTGCCATGCTAGAAAAGAATTAAAAAGAATGAAAGAAATAAAAGGTTATTCAGGTGACCTCTCTGGAAAATGAAGCCTGAATTTAGTGAGCAATCTAATACTTCCGTTAATTAATTTTGGAGAGAAAGACATCAGTTGATGATTCATCTAACTTGTAAACTTTTGAGCTTAAAATCATCTGTGCATCATATAGAGCCTATTCTTGTCTTTGACATGCATTCCCATTTGCTTCCATTGGTTCATTTCCTTCAGATGTGATTATGGGTCAGAATATGCACGCACATGTATGCTCTGCATAGAGTTCTTTAATTTTACCTGCTGCTTTATTTATTGTCATTGTCCGTTTGCTGAGAATGGTCACCATTTGATTTTTGTTTTCTTTATAGCCGGAACCGGAGTTCCGCCCTCCCATGTCTGAAGTTGTGCAAGCATTAGTACGACTAGTGCAAAGGGCCAGTGTGGTCAAGAGACGACCCAGTGATGATTCAGGATTTGCATATAAAACCCCGGATCATGAGGCAATCGATTCATCACTTTGAGTGTCTTGGCGTTATTGAACGTGGAAGTGAAGCATCTGGTTTTGCATACAGCCATGCAGAAGTCGATGGCCGATGAAATCATGCACAGATAAAGAGGAAAGATGCTAAAAAGCTATAAAATCAGATCAGAAAGATATGTAATTATGTCTGAAACATTGAGAGTTGCTTACTTATAACTCCATCTTTAGCTGTAAATGATTTAAAACTGTATTCCAAAATTTTCCTTCATCTTTTGTTGTAACATTTACGATATAATGCATCCTAATAAAAGAATTTCCACTTGTTCCTAGCAAGTTTACATTTTCGCAAAGATTACTCACCTGCAGTTAGTTTTGAACTGTCAATTTGAACATGCTGCTCCACACCAGAAACTGCCAACCAAAAGCCAAAAGGTGAGTGAATCTGGGGAAAGACAAAAACAATGTCAGAAAGGCAGGTGGTTCCTCCTTTCATTGCATATTGGAAGCATGAAGGAGCAAGTGGATTGTGACAGAAATATGACCTTGAAAAAGACAGTGAACAGGTTGTTCCACGTGCCTCTCAAACTCCATAATGGAATGGGTGGAGAAGTGGTTGTCTTTTTTGCATGAAGACTTTTGTTTTGGAATTTTCTTTGGGACTAACAACAATCTTCATATTTTGATAAACATGGTTTAGGGTTTAGTATTGATTTTGTTGTGTGTGTGTGTGTGTATATTTTTGTTATAAGACATTAACAAACGGAACCTAAAATTACCATCAAGTTAGTAAAACATAAAGGAAATGGTAAAAACAAGATTTTTATACACATCCAGCTCGCTATAAACTCAAGAACACAGGCTGGAAGGATTTAGAAGTCTGTGTGGCACATATAAATTTTGCATTAAGAACAGGCAATTGTTGGATGATACTTTACCCATATCGAATGTATGGAATTTAAAATAAAAAAAAAGATAATTTCGAATGTATGGAATTTAAAATAAAAAAAAAAAATTTATTTTTATTATAATAATTTTATAGTTTTTTGCTATTTAAAGAGAATATTTTTTCTAGTTTATTTTTTATATATTTAGTATAGTTAGGGTTTTCTTGTTTTTTCTATGTAAAAAATTGTAATAATTTTTTAAGAGTGGGATGCTATGATGAATAAAAATTAACTATTCAAGAGTCTCCCCATAATTATGCTTTTCTTGAGAGTTTTAGCTTGTAATCAACCTAGAATAACCTCAACATGGCTTGACAACGTAGGAGGGGATAAAAGGTTTTCTTGAAAAAAAAAATCTAGAAACTTGAGCATCGTTTTATTTTACATTGTTGTAATTCAAAATTCTAATAATGAGATCTATAATAAATCTATTCATATAAAAATGTTATATTAGGGATTTATCATAAAATAACTCCTGCAAAGATATGGTGTTAAAAATCTATGATGAGTGGCCAGCATAAAAATATTAGAAATTCATAATTACGTAGCATATATATAAAATGACGTCTATCATATATATTAATTTTTAAATAAAAACTAAATTTAAGTACAAGTACCTTCCAATTTGAGAAAACCAATGAAAATTTTAAAAAATAAATATTTTTTTATTTTTATTATGATAATTTCTAACTTTTTATCTATTTGAATGGAATATTTTTCCCAGTTCAATATTATTGAGGTTTTCTTGTTTCTTCTGTATGAACACTTATAGTAGCATTTTGGTTTAGACTACGATAAATAAAAATTAAATATTCTAAAAATCTTCCCATAATTATAATATTTATGGTCCTTAAAAATTTTAACTTATAACAAAAAAAAAAAATTATCCTTCACTCCCATCTGCATTAGAGATCCTGTTTCTTCCTTGTGCCTGGCAAAAATAGCATCTCAACTAATACCAATTATCAAGCCAGATTCAGTTGATTGATTTTACAAAACATCATAGAATTTGAAAAACCCTCATGAAGCCACCTCCTTGTGGTGCCTTCATTACTCAATTTGAAATAAAAGTAGGATTTTTTTTTATTTTTTACCTAAGGAATAATAGGGGTTACTACATGGTGTAAGTAAAAATATAAAAGCCAATTAAACAACAATTAGGTTTATATTTCATCAAAAAAAGAAAAATATTATTTATTCAAATTTAATAATTGAATTGATAGCAATATTTCATGACAAAGATATTCTATACTAGACCCATCAAATAATAAAAGGTCAATTTGTCTTGAGAGATTGATTTTAATTAGTCCTTGCAGTTAACAAACTTAATTAACTTAGTTAGTATATAAACCTAGAAACTATTCTTAATTCAATTCTCACGTTTATTATTTTTTTATAATTATTATATAAAAATAGTGGTATATTTGTACATATTTTAATATTAACGAAATACTATTTTTTTTAATTTTGAAAAAATATTAAATTAAGAATGGTCGATATTGTTGAGCAACACTATAATTATTTTTAACACTATATATATATAGGGACTATTCGATTAGTTCTAACAAAATACAGGGACTTATAATCAACTCTTGTGTTCATAAACAAGCAACTTGTGATACCAAAACTATGACAGCAAACTCAAAACAAAAGCCTGTTAGTCCACGGTTTATTACATATAGCTATCCCAGTCCCAGATTCAGACAACAACAAGAACAAGAACCCATTTCGAAGCAAACCACGAAAAAAGCTTTCATTCGTAGCAGAAAGAAGCAATATTTTTCATATGTCCTCCTCAGCTGACTTCTATAATATACCCTCATCACCGAGTCAGTCTCCTCGGCCCGGACAAAAGAAAGGGAGGAGAAAGAGAGAGAGGGAGAAGGTTTTTTGGTATCAGAAGAAGGGAGCCAAAGGAATTGTGGGTTTGATTTGTTTGGTGGGTTTTTTTTTTATTTTCAATGGATTTATGGTTTTAAGGCTTCAACGTGATGATGAAATCAGCGGCAATAAAGATGTGTCTGTTCGGAATTCTTCTTCAATTTCAGTTTCAATTAAGGTACATTTTTCTTTGAAACTTAGCTGTGGTTAATATTTTGTGGATTTGGAGAAGGAATGGAGTGACTTTTTGGATACACGGTTTGTTAATTTAGTAAAGATACATGATTTATGTAATCTGTGATTAATTAGGAAGATTTCAGCATAAAAACTTCCCGTTTTGATTCTTTATATTAATTTGGAGAAGTTAAAAGGTAGTTTAAATTGCTGTATTTCATCTTTGTTAATATATAAAAGATGCATAGTTTATGTAATTTGTGATTCATTTGGAGAATCTGATCTTGAGTCGAGCAGGCCAGATCATGAGTGAATAGAAAATGATAAAAAAAAAATTCCCATTATAATTTTTTATATGTTTAACTGGATTGAATGCAGGGAGAATTGAAAACGATTGGTAAAGGAAAAAGGCAGCGAAAGGGTACTTATGATAGGATGTTGGCTTTGGCTGCTCATTCCCTTGCTGAGGTATTTGAATGGCCAAGTTTTTATCTTGTGATACGGGTATAGTTTGTTTTGGTTTGTGAGCTATTTGGATTCAATCTCTACTGATTTAATCTTTATGTAGCTGCAATTTTTTTCTTTTTGTGTTCTGTATTGTTTGATTTTTTTTCCTCCATGTAACATGGTAACAGAATAAACGTGAGCCGAAAGATTTGTGGCAGGAGCTGTTTGTTCCTGCTTCTGCTTGGAGACCTTGTGCTGATCATCGTAATTGGAATCATAGTGGTAACTCACTCTTTCTGTGTTGTGCATATTTGTATGCAGGTGGACATTTGACTTGATGTCTGCATTCGCATGTGTTTCTGCCTGTGTCTCATGTGGAAATATGTCCTGGATATCTTAATTTGAGTAAACACGTGTTATAGTGGTGCAAAACTGGTTCTAACTCGGTATTTCTCTGTGGTGCTTTGTAGAGGGAAATAATGGTTACATTTTGGTCACTGCGAATGGTGGGATGAACCAGCAAAGAGTAGCTGTAAGCAATGCTTTGACTAATTGCAGCTTTCATATTGCTCCTTTGTGACCCAGTTTCATAGTTTGTGTGCAACTGTCTTTGCTTCTGAAGGGATATATTTTGTATTTTCAACTGATTCAACTTTCTTCTGTTTTAAAAACAGGTTTGCAATGCTGTTGTTATTGCACGGTTGTTGAACTCAACTCTTGTTATTCCTAGATTTATGTACAGCAGCGTCTGGAGAGATGTGAGGTGATATTTTTTTCTCTTTGTTTTCTCTCATTAATTTCCCTTTAGAGAAAGTGTACATTTTGATTGTTGGATAAAACATAATTGCCTGTGATAGTTGTTGGTTGCCTAGTGGTGTGTCTTGAAATTGGTATATCTATCTTGAAGGAAAGTGCGTGCATCTTTTAATAGTTGGATTGGAGAAATAATCTTGTGGATGCCTTGATTTTAAGGTGATTGCTGCTTGTGATATTTACTGTTACTGTGTACTCATAATGAGTTAGTTATCTTCATCTCCCATAAGTGCCAGAAATGCAATGCTTCATCACTGCAAAACAAAACAATTTATTCGAATCATTCTTACTCTTACATGTGATTTGGATGGAAAAGTGACATCAATTCTTTATTTCATAGTCAATTCAGTGACATCTATCAGGAGGAGCATTTTATTAATTACCTCACTCCTGATATTCGGATAGTGAAGGAACTGCCTAAAGAGCTGCAGTCGCTAGATTTGGAGGCAATTGGTAGTGTTGTGAGTTTCTTATCCATAATAATTCTGAGTGCACTCACACCTGATTTGTTCTTATCTTGCATAATTTGTTGTTAGTAATGATATCACAATATCATGCAGGTGACAGATGCAGATATTGGGAAAGAATCAAAGCCAAGTTTTTATTTGAAAAACATTCTCCCTATATTACTAAAAAATAGAGTTGTCCATTTTGTGGGATTTGGGAATCGCCTGGCATTTGATCCAATACCATTTCAGTTGCAGGTAAATCTCTTTCCTTTTGTACTCTAGTTTGCTGCATATGATGGTATATTGTAAGTAATATGCCAGATTGTCATCCTTATTTCATTTCCTTCCTGCTTTGCTCATCCTAATGTTGGGGACTTCATCTAGACACTTCGGTGCAGATGTAATTTTCATGCGCTGCAATTTTCTCCCAAGATACAAGAAACTGGTGCCTTGCTCATCCAAAGGTTGCGTAAAAATGCTGCCCATGCAGGGCCACTGGATCATCATCTTATCGGTCCTTATGCAGAAAAAAATCTGCAAGAGAAAGTGGGTCATGCTGTCAAAGCTTCAAGATATCTAGCTGTTCATCTGAGGTTTGAAATTGACATGTTAGCACACTCTTTGTGTGAATATGGTGGAGGAGAAGAGGAGAGGAAAGAGTTGGAAGCATATCGTGAGATTCATTTCCCTGCTCTGACACTTCTTAAGAAGACAAATAAGTACGCACCTATGCATTTTTTCCTATACATGCATTACCCCCTGTATGTAGGCATGCATTGTAGTGTGCTGGTCAACAGTGCCCTAAGTTATACCTTAAATAAGGCAATAGTTGAGAACCGTGGTGCCTTTGTTTCCCTATCTTTCAATTTTTTTTTTTCTGGTCTTTATATATGTAGACAGATAGGTGTAAAAATATTGTTTTCTCTTCCACTCAACTGTGTTTCTGGGGGTGAAGCCCACCTTTCGAATAAGTATGCCTCATGTGTGCCACGCTTGCTTAATGCCACAACATATCTGATGCAGGGCAGCTTAGGGGGGTATTTTCAAGGGGATGTGAACAGTAATGTGAATAGAGATTTGAGGGTTTGAATTGGTCTTTTGGTGGCTATTTGATATAGGATTGATTGGGTATGAATGTGTGTGGCTGTTTTGGAGTTCGATTGAGGTGGTTTGATGGTTAGAATAAAGAGCTTTGTTTAAAGGAATTGCAATGTATGTGAAAAAGCTAATGGAGCCACACCAGTAGAGTTTACACACCTAAAAGGAGGAAAGACCTAAGCATCACACCTATGGTTCTAAGGAGTCACACCTACAAGAGATTGTGTACAAAACATAGTTGCTGGAAGTTACATTCATAAACTGATTCTCTAAAATGAAGCATCGGCAGCATAGTTATTTGTGAACTCACACACTCCTAAAGCTTTACATAGTTGGATTACTAATTTGAGAGAATACTTTTTGGTTCCAACTGCCATTTTGTAGGTCTAAACCTAGTCATCATTCTCCTATTCCAAGGATAACTTCATTTGAGAGAATACTTTTTCCTTGAAACATGTGTAGCAGAGAGATATCTTTTTTTATTATTATTATTATTGAAGGGATAGCATACATGCTACACTTTCCTTGGCTTATTTCCTGGGTACGTTGTTTGATTTATGGCAGGCTACCTTCTCCTGCAATGCTGAGGGAAGAAGGCTTATGTCCCTTAACTCCTGAGGAAGCAGTACTTATGCTTGCAGCTCTAGGGTTCAGTAGGAAGACACATATATTCATAGCAGGTGCAAATATATATGGAGGGAGATCAAGATTAACTGCTTTAACCAGCTTGTATCCTAATTTAGTTACTAAAGAGAAACTGCTTTCAGCAACTGAACTCGAACCATTCATGAATTTTTCATCTCAGGTAATAAAGTGACATTTTTCACCACTTTTTAATTGTGTTATTTTGTGGTTATCATCTGCTTAATTTGATATAGTGCATTAGGTGAGCCTTGTAGTGTAAATAGGAGGATGTCTGAATCCTCAAGTTAGCTCTTTATTAACATGTGGTATCTTGGTGATTGAAGTGAACATGGGACCAAGACCAGTACTTTGGATGATCCTTCTGTTGTAGCTTGCATCATGCTGAACCTGAACTTGTATCTCATGCTAAACAGCTTAGGCAGCTGTTATTGTGTGGATTTGGGTTGAGAGCAACACATTTCATACCTCAAAGGGTAGGTCTAAGAGGACCTTTTTCAAAGCATTCCTATCCCAGTGTGGTTTTGGTGGATCTATGACTAAGGAATGCCTTGTTTTTTCAGTTTTGAGTTTGCAATGAAATTTTAGAACCTGAGGGATGTCATTTATTGACAGGGAGTTTAAATTAAGCCCCAGAACCATGCAGTCTTCTGATTACTTGAGAAATTTACTGAAAACCATGTAATTTTTGTTTCTGAGAAAAGGTTTGGCTCTTTTGCATTCTACTACCGTATTGCAGCCTTTCCTTTTCAGTTCGCCATCAATTGTTTTTTGGAGTGGGGCTTCACCATCATCACTGCACCATGAAATGATACATGAACCCTGCTGTCCTTGTCAGATTTTGTTTTCTTACATCATTGAACTGTTTTTTCCTTTTTAATCATTCTTGATGCATGATGAGCTTATTTCTTGTCCAGCTTGCAGCGCTGGACTTCATAGCCTGCACCGCGTCTGATGCATTTGCCATGACTGACTCTGGGAGTCAGTTGTCATCTTTGGTATCTGGTTTTCGAATATACTATGGTGGAGGGAAGATGCCAACAATAAGACCAAACAAGCGGAGACTTGCTGATATTTTCAGGAAGAACAACAGTATTGAATGGAAGATATTTGAGCAGAGAGTTAGAAAGGCAGTTAGACAAACTAAACATGTGCTGCAAAGGCCAAAGGCTAGGAGTGTTTACAGATATCCACGGTGTAAAGAGTGTATGTGCCTAACAGAATAATGTGTTCCTTATCTGACATTTGATGCCATTGTATGTTCCATTTTTTTATTAATCTGATGTATTTCTTTCTTTCTCATTTCTGTATGCGAAAGACAAATTGGGGAAACGCCCAAAATACTAATAGAGTAACATACACGAGACTATCTCAATAGAAATATTGCATTCTTTCCCTTTCTTTTAGCTTAGCCCTGTCTTTTCTAGCATGGCTCACTCTCTAATGAATATATTGATTTTGATGCTTCTAAAATGCCTTTAGCTTTTCAACTTTTTCAGGCAGTGAACTGTATCCTTGGTACTTGACAGGACATTGTCACAATTTAGTATTTGTTTATAAATACCAAATACCCAATGGTATTGTTTGTGAACAAGAAGGAGCTGCTGTTAGGTATTGGTTATGTCTGATTTCTTGTTGCTTTTGATTTGTGGATTACTCTAGAGTCTAGCCGCTGTAAAACATAAATTTATGTTCCTCAAATATATTTTCTTAGTCTAGCCGTTGTAAAACATAAATTTATGTTCCTCAAATATAGTTTCTTATACATTTCGAACCCATGTCTATGATGTTGAAATAGGCAAAACAGATAATGGTAGTCTGACAATATGATTTAAACTTCCTGTCAGAACAATTTCACCAAAGCTAAACTCAGCCCCTGCTTTGATCACTCGAAACTGTATCTCAATATCTTGTATTTCTTGTGGAGCTATTCTAAACCAAGTTGGAGACAAGTTTACCATGGTCCCATTAGGCGATATGACTGAGCATGTGTATGTCTCTGGTCTGCTGCCTACATTCTTCAGACTCCGCTTGACTGTTAGAGAGCTTCTTAGTGTTGATATCGTCACTGAAGGTAGGTTCAGGTTGGCCGGATGGCTAAGCAATCGGCTGCACCTCTCTCCAGTTGCAGCATTGATCACAGACCAATCAATACCAGGCAATGAGCACAAAAAGTTTATGTGGTCTTCAAATTCTGCTTCATATTACACATCAGTTAAACTTCAGACGAATACTAAAAAAGTAAAAAACTTAGAGAGGTTAAATGTTACCTGCGGGTAAGACAAGGCCTGGATCAATAGCACGAGCAGGATTCACAAGTCCAGCGCCACGATCCAAATGAGTGGACGGATAGTAGCTATTAAGATAAGATCCTTCTGCTAGTATGACTTCTCCATAATTGTCATACTTGGTAGCAGTAGTGGAGATGGCAGATGCAATCATAGATGGAGTCCACGAAGGATTATATTGCTTGATAAGTGCTGCTATTCCCACTGCATGAGGTGTTGCCATACTTGTACCGGACAGTAGTGCAAAATGGTATCCTAAACAATTAGCAAGGTCGCCTTACAAGATACTCTCATCAATCTAATGATAATAGCTTTATAATACTGACTTGCTTACCAGTTAGTACGGGTTCTAAGGCACTGAGGGGGCTCCAAGCTGCCCATATTTGGTGTCCTGGGGCAAGAATGTCTGGCTTAAGCACATCGGCAGGATTCCTGTTAATGTCAACAAAATCTGGCCCCCTGGAAGAGAATCTGCTGACAATAGGTGCTTGCCCCACAAAAGAAGCAACTCTACCCTCTCTTATAGCTGCTCTTGCACAGTATTGAATCACAAATCCTCTCTCATCCCTCTGGATATTTTGCTCGTAGTACTGAGATATTATCTGCATATAGAGATTGCATTATATTTCTCACAAGATAAAGCATTCATGGTGCTTAATGTTTTCTGATGCAGCATTTAATACCTGTGCATCAGCAACTTTTGGAATTATAATGCCTGAAACAGCAAAAGGAATAGGTTCTGCAATGAAATCACCGTAGGCCGGGTTTGCAACAAAAGCAAAACCCATAAATCCCAGAGTTCTTGCTGTGTCAATAATGGCATTGATGTTTGACGTCCCATTATAGAAGCCGGCTGAGAAGACACAGATAACTATTCGTCCTCGCACAATAATTGGGTCCAATGCCTCTGGATATTGACATTCTTCAACATATGCTGGAGTCCTTGGGAATGCCCCATTTACCCTAACTGCATCTTTAGCCAGCACCAACTTACACAGAAACTTCCCATCTCCAAAAGTAGGACCTGGAAAAGATTATGCAACGCGTAAGTATAACAACGAGGACGGTGACAACCAAGCCTCAACCTTTGAAACTAGTTGGGGTTGGCTATATGGATCCTTTTTCTCCATTCTGCAAGAACATATATTGGTATTGTGCCAATTATACTACATCGATCGGATACCTCATACCTGACAAACCTACGCCTCCAACCTTTAGCCCATTTCCAAGAAGAAGAGAACCGGGGTAACTTCTGTCTGTGCTGCAAGCAGCTACACCTACAGCCCAAGGGCTGTAAGACACAACAGTTGAAAAGTCTGGCCCGTGGTTACCTGCAGCTTGAGCAACGAAAACTCCAGCTCGTCGAGCAAATAACATGAAAACATCAAACACACTTAAGAATGTAATGGTATCTTCTGGTGGTTCATCTGGTCCAACTGAGAGTGTTAATATGTCCACTCCATCCATTGTTGCCTGTGCCACAGATTCAGCACATGAGATTAATAAGATCCAATCAACAATATAAATGTTGTAGATATTTTCCGTTACAGACTAGTAAACCTCAAGACTTACTTGATCTATTGCTGCAACCACATCTGTTATAGTTCCCACGGTTGGATACACAGCCTTATAAACAGCAATTCTGAGGCCAATATATGTCGAGAGGTCATGTACTTCTCATCAAACTGTTGCCTAAACGCCATGCAAGTAAAATAATTAATGCTACTGTATAAAACAAAGAGCATACCGAGCACGAGGAGCCATCCCACTAGCTCGCCCATAATAGAAGCCATCCACAATCACTGGGACCCCAGCATTTCCAGCAGCAATTGATGCCACATGACTAAACATAGTATATTCATTTGTATCAATGACATCTTCAGCAGATGGCTATTTGATTATATTCAAGAGCATTTTACATAGTGATCATTGCAGTACCTGCCATGCCCAGCAGCATCAAAGGGAGAGAGGAAGTCCACTGAAGTGTTGAGAGTAGCAATTGCTTGAGCCCCAGCTGAGAAGTACCTAGCTGACAATATCTTACCATTACAAGAACTAGATGGAAATCTAGGCCCCGTTTCGCAAGCACCCGAAAAATGAGAAATATTTGATGTGAAAGGATTCAAGGGATCATAAGTAAAACTTGGATGTTTTGGGGTGATTCCTGTGTCAACAAAACCAATAACAATCCCTTCACCTGCATTTTTGTCTCCTCCTTCCTTTGCCCAAACTTCTTGAGGTAACCCTAGGAATTGAGGAGTGTATGTTGTCATCAATTTGGCTCCTCTATCTTTCTCCACCAGCTTCACTCCGGGAGCAACGTTTAATTTGTTTGCCTGGAATTTTCAACCAACAAAACTTACATTTACTTTCACCATCAACTTTGAGAAAATATATATAGAGAAAGAGAAGGCTAAGAAACTAGGAAAGAAACCTGAGAAGGGGTTGTATGAACAGAAAAGCCATTAACAATGTGTTTGAAGCTGTAGAGCTTGTTGTAGCTTCCAGTTTCTAGATTGCTTTGCAGAAGGTGGTCATGAGAATCCACCAAGTGCTTTGCATGAGCCTTGGAAACTTCACTATCCATAAAAAAATCTATATCCTGATCAGTACCAATAGAACAAAATGAATTCAACCCTAAAAATCTACATCCTCCCTGGCCCTAGAAGTCAAGGACAAATTTGTAAGAAGTTCAAGACAGGAAAACAACAGTAGTAATACCCGTCAAGTGCAAGTACTTTTCGTCCTTCATGACATAAATGGCTTCCACGAAATGCAACTGGCTCTTCTTCCATTAAGACCAAGTATACTGATCTTTCTTCTGCACAACAAGTACCAACAATAACAAAGACAAGGACAGTTATCAGAAGTGCATCATAACTCGAAGAAGCCGATATTGTATCAACCTTGTTTGCCATGATCATTTTCAGTGAAGGAAACATGAGCTCAGGCACCAGGGATGTTGAGAAAAATAAGCTGCCATATACACAGCATGCAAAAACGTAAAGTAATAATTCTTAGACGCATTGTCCATGTGAATAAAGCAGTAACGGTTTAGCTAATATGGAAAGGAAGCCCTGCTTTGGACCTAAACCGTTACAAATATACCCTTAGATTATTTCCTTGTATAGCATGCAAAAATGGTGGAGAATATCGAGTAAAGGCTTTTAGAGGTACTTCTTGGGCATGCATGCTGACATGCGTATCAGAAAAATTACTACAGAGACCTGGTACATGCAGACAAGAAGCGTGTTGCTAGGGCTTACCGATAATATTTACTCCCAAAATGTTGATTTTGGGAGGTCTTTATTCTTCGTTGATTAAATTGACTTCTTTTTTAAATCTAGGAGGGATTTTGATAGATCAAATTTTGATGAAATTGAAACAAATACGGTAATGAAATGACCCTCACACTCGGATTGATTGGCAACTTCGAGGCCTCCTGTCAAAATAAGAATTTATTACAAGGATAAAATACAACCCAACTTGACTCCTGTCAAAATAAGAATTTATTACAAGGACGAAATAAGGTGTAAAATACAACCCAACTTGAAGAAATGATCCGAAAAACACGGGCTAAGAACATAATTTGAATTTCTATTTAAGCTAGATAAAATATTGATATGAAAAAACCAGTTTGATCTAGCTAAATTTTTAGTGATCTGTTTAATATTGCCTAATAAAAAATAAAATAATTAAAAGATTTAATAAAAAAACGATTAACCCATGAGTTAAGTTAATAATGTAATGATTTAGACTCTTTTTAAGTCAAATATAATCCTCTCGACGAATATGAACAGGATAACTCCAGAGTGTTTTCAAGACTGTAACGGGTTGCACACCTGCCCTCCATCCTCGAGCACCACGGTGTACAAATATAGTACTCTTAGCCACGGTTTTGCAAGGCGGATGTCATGATTGCAAACTTTATAGATTGCCGAGTAACGCCCTAGGGCCACATGATTTATACTCTATTGCTTGTAGCTCTGTGCATGTAGTTAAGCTCTGAGGTGGTCGAATAATGTTGTTGACATGACAATTTAATCTTGCCAAATGAATAGCATAAAGAATAACCAAAAAGACAGCTAGGTCCACCAGCAGTCAGGCTCCAAGATCTTGAGGTCAGCTTTCGAAAATGAAAATTGTGTAGGAAAGAAGACCCAAGCTGGGACCATTTTTATTCGTCTAAGCCCACATGATTTTTAACAGTGTATAAATGAAAATCAAGGAGGCGTTCCTGCTTGAACCTAAGGTCCTCATTTCAGTTTGTGGCCATAAGTTCAGACTTGGGCAATGCATCACAAGTCTATAATGATAGTTGTGAAAACTCTGCGTGTGGAACATAGACCACAGATGAGCAACTACAATATAAGTTAAGCTGGTCGCTATCAAACTGGCAAGTGAACCATCAGCATAAATGGGGTTTCTGTCTTGGCTTCAAAAAAGGGAAAACCAGAAACTAAGAATGTCTACTCCATGCAATAGGTTTGATGTCAGAAAACATCCAAAATGAAGCCTTTTTCAGGATAGATTCATAATAAATTAATTATGTCCTGAACCTAGCATAGCTTACATATTCCACAAGACAACACAAGAAATTACTGACAGCCCAGTTTGAGCAAAGCACACCATGGTCTTTTGCACTGTACATCTCAAACACTGACAATCTACAAGTTAAACCTGCAAGAAGATTTAGGTCTCCCTGTGCATTTCACTGACCTAACTGCACTCATCTCTTCCGACGCTTGTTCTCTACCTGTAAAGTTCAGAGACTTCAACAATCATTCATTTCAGAGAACAATAAAGAGGGTAAACATGCCATCATTTATGAAGATTGGGCTATGTATGTGATCAATGTTTTTCCCTAACCAACATCCAAACTTTGCAAGAACAATATTAGTGAGTGTCTTCATGTAATATATCCAAATTCCAATACCCTGATATTTTTCCCTAACCAAAAACATCCAAACTTAGCAAGAACAGTATTGGTGTCTCTACACAATATTTCCAAGTTCCAACACCCTAATGCAACATTCTGGATGAAGACAGAAAGCCATCCATCCATTGTGCATTGTAATCCCTTGGCATAGACAAATAACTTAATTCCAATAAATGATGATGAAACAAAATAGCTGTAAGATCACGGTAAGAAGCTAGAAGTGACTGTAAAGAAAATCGCACCATGAAGGTTGCATATGGATTACATATAGAAAGGCATATGTGAAAAACAAGATCTGGCTCAATGTTTCTGACATGCCTCAGACAACAAGAAGTTGATAGTAGCCTTCCACGTAGAAACATGCAGATACACTCTCCAACCGACTATAACATCACATCCTGATCTTCCTTTTTTTTTTTATGAAATTATATCCCAATCTCAAAACATCCTAAATATGTGCTATAATGGGAATAATGAGCATTCATAGTTGCAGTGAATACCTTGCCTTAATTTCAACCAAAATCACACTCTGCCACAGAAAAGAACTTGTTTTCAAAGAGGAATATTAGAGTCTAGAAAAGAACCAATAAGTGGCAGTATTAAGCACACACGGGACAAAGTGGGTAAATATATCATTGTGGATTTTGATATAATGACAGACCAAACTTCTAATTATACTCTGTAACCATGGAGCCAAATTTAGATTGACAGTTCAGAATGTCTTGTACATTGCAGGATTGGAAAGAGAAATGAACATAAAAATCTATATCAAACAACTTCTAACATTTGCACCACCCAAGCATAGCCCACTCTATCACAACAATTCAGATGAAGATGCAACTATTGAACCCTGATCCATCTCATCCAAGCAAATCAATACAATAACTCAAATTTTCAAATGGCAATGCGTGCATCAAAGTTACAATCTTCTGAACATTATAAACCAACCTACACTTCAAATTCCATAAGAAGATAGGGATCAGGCAAGTGTAGAAGTGAAAATTGTATTGCCAGTGTAGCACAACCCATGAAACTATATAAGAGCAAGAGATTTCTAACACAAAGTATTAGAAACATATAAACTTGATTAATCACAGTCCATAACAAATAAGATATAGAAAAATAAATGAACATGAGCACGAAGCCAAACTGCTATGTGAAATACATGGATCATGCTTACTACAGGTAAAAAACTCTTTTCTTTTCAAGATCAGCAAGCTATTGCGGCCAAAATGCAGCCCCAACCCATGCATTCAATTTCATACATGAAAGCAGTAGTGCATCCTACAAATATATTCTTTGGTACCAGCTAAATGTTCAGTACATTTTACCCAAAAGGATGGTTGATGCCACAATGGTAATGGAGACTCATGTATCACTTATCTACTCATCCACACCATACACCCATCATTAGAGTTATCAAAACACTAATATTAACAACCTACTCCACACAATATTAGTAACAAATCCTGTTAACTTCTTAAATCACAACCCAAAAATCATCGCAGAAAACAAGCTCATAGCATGTCATGCACAGTAAATGGGGTATATTAAGGCCACAAAAATGTATCTCCAGAAAAAAGGAAACAAGATAGAGAAAAGTCTCGCCTTGACTTCAGCTAAGGATGATGCTGAAAATCCATTCTGTGATCTTTTCACATCATCATCAGATGCACACTCAGAACACATGAAGTGATCCAATTTCTTTGCCTCTTCAATTGTCATGTCAACACAAGCAGGATGATACCTACAAAGAACATGAGTAGCATAACTATTAAAGTAGACTAAAACCTTTTTTAAGGCTATCACACATGAGCATACAGACGAAATTCCCTTACTATTCACGATGCCTCCAAAATGTAATAGAAACAGAACTATTCACAATGCCTCCAAAAAGTAAGAGAAGCATAACTATAAAAGCATACTATCCCCTGCCATTCAAACTACATCCAAAAGGCCTGAATTTGGGATCATAGCAAAGGAATTTACATTCTCTGTGGGTTAGTAAGCACTAGAAATGCACGACAAAGAATGTTTTGCGTCTTCTACTAGCAAGTAGATATAACACCTGGGTGAGTCAGTTTAATACCATTAGAACTATGATATTTGAGAGCATAAAACCCCATAGAAATGGTAATAATCTTAATGGGGAAAAGGAAAAACCAGAAAAATCACATCTTGTTAACTGCCATTGACTTAAAGCAACAGACAAAATAGTGTTGAACAGCAAAGCAAAAATATATGGCCCCAGAATGATGCCAATATCATTTGTAAAATTTAACTAGAATAACTGCCCACTAAAGTCCAGATTTATGATCTAAATGGAAAAGGTGGGCACAGGGAGGATAACACTTGATGAGATCAAGCTATCAGCTCAAATAGCAGTCAATTCTCCCGCATCAAGCAACTTGTTTTTGTATATTTGCACTTTGTTTCTTGACACGGAGAATTGCCTCTTTCTAATCCTTGTGCTCCTTTGTCTTTCCAGCATTGATAATTGAATGGCTGAGAACTTCACCAACAAAACTCTCTTATTTTTTTTTAATTTACAAGCCTTCTCTTGGGTTTAAGAGTGGAAGTCCTTAGCTCCTTAGCCTTAGGACACAAAATTTCACTTTTTTTTTTTAATTTTTCCCCATTTTTAAATTCCTATAGAACACATTTCCCAAATTTTTTACTGTCACGGGACTTCCTTGGAGAAAACTAACTGACTTAATAACCAAAAAGAGAAAAAGAGAATTAAGAAAAAAAAAAACAACAGAGACAAGAAAGCTACATTACCAGTCCTTGCAACCCTCACACTGCACCATGAGATCATCTGGGTTATATGGCATCTCACATTTGCAATACCTTCAAAAATCAAAAAGCACTAGGACCTCAATCAAACAACAACACACTAACAAAAAATAAAACACATTCCAGCATACTCAAATCTGAACCATGTTGAAAGAAAAAACTCACACAGCAACACGGTCTGGTGTGAAACCTCCAGTAGCAGCCTTGTACTCAAACCTACAATAATAATCCTCAGCTCCGACATTCTCGAGCTTAGTATAGTTCTTAAAAGAGTGAACTATACACTTCCCTTCAATAGTGTGAGCACTTTGTACATCATAATGATCTGATAAGAACAACTCTTTTGCTCCATGAAACTGCCTGCGTCCTCCCAAAGACTCTTCTGGCCTATAGTACCATCTCACTCTAACCTTCACATTGTTTCTGCTATCAGCCTCAATCGCCTCAATTTTTGCCACGTATGAAGGCCTACCAGTATCAGATGGTCTCATCAATACACAATCCCCCGCTACATAAACACAAGAAAACACACAAAAAGATCAAAACTTTACAACAACCCATTATCAGAAAGCCACAAAACAAACGAAAATCAGAACTTTACAACAACCCAGATAAATATAACTGCGAAAACGCATTTTGAGAATGTTATTACCTCTAACAACTTTGGTAGTGCCACGAATTGTGTAGGAGTCAAGGTCCTTCTTGCCTGTTTTAGGCTTGGAGATGATGCCTCCTGGTCTGGTTTTAGCCATGGGACCTTAAGACTTCAAGTGTCTTCTCTTCTTGATATTGATGAATTGGGATTTTGGTAGAAAACGAAGTGGAGATTTAGGAGGGAGAGAAACCCTAGGTTCTTGACATTGAAGAGAGAGAGAAGACAACAGAAGAAGATGCTGTGACCCTTGACCTGTTAGAGTGTCATTTTTTTTTTTTTAGTGTGTGTGTAAAGCTTAATTAACCACAAACTCTGTAGGTTGGTTGTAATGATATGGATTTTCGTTTTCCTGTAAGAGTTTAAGGATTGGTTTTGTATTTGGTTTAGTTTTGTCATTGGGTTTTGGCTAATGGGGTGTTGCCATGTAACCCAATTTGTGTAAATATTGGATTGTCTTTTCTGAGTTTTGTCTTTATGTCCCATCCCATGTAATCTCATAAATGTGAGGCAGTTTAGTAATTTTACTTCATACTGAAATATATTTTTTGTTTCATCATTGAAAAAATTTATTAATTTTAGTTTAGTATTTTAAAATATTTTTTATTTAAAAATATATTAAAATAATTTATTTTATATTTAAAAAATTATTTTTTATATTAATATATTAAAACAATTTTAAAATACTAAAAAAAATCAAAATTTTAACAAAAATATATCTCAACCACTCTTTAACATTCTATAAAATACTTTATTATGACAAGATAAGTGAATCTAGATTAACCTAAACCAATCTAAAATCATGTTATTTTATTATTTTTATTTTAAAAAATTAAAATAATATTATTATAATAACAAATTATACCAAATTTTAATTAGATTAATTAAATCATATAAATTTACCAAATTAATTTCTATCTAATTTAATTTTAAACCCAGCCTACATCAAGTTTAATAATGAGTTTAATAATATTACTTTATTTGAGATCATCTCAAAATCATACCTATTATTTAAAATTTGACCAAGTTAATTTATCAAATTAATTTTTATTTAATTTAATTTAAAAATCAAATTAAGTCAAGTTTAATAACACTTATTTACATACTTAATTATTCTAAGATGAAATTACAACCATATAAATTCAATCTAAAACCATTTAGATACAAATTAAATAAACTGAATAGTATAATTATATGCTAAATAACAAAATTCAAATATTTTTCTAAAAATAAATTGATTGAAATTCTTTTTTTTTAATAATTTTGACATTTTTAAATCAAAACCATTCAAAAGACTCAATCAGACCTAGTCTCTAATTAACCATTTTGTTACGGCATAGTCAGACCCATCTTGACTTGATAGAATTTTCAAAAGTTGCAAGGGCATCTTGTCCTGGCATGAGAAGAGCGAACTTAGGCCATTGATCTTTACGTATTCTCAACATGTATGATATGTCGAAATCAAATGCCCACAATTTACGATGTGATGCTGACCTGCCAACCGTTCCTTTTCAACTCTTAAGCCTTGTGTTCTTGACCTGACAACGGTCATTATGTTGCCAAGCTTATAGCTTTAGCAACACGCATAATCCTGAGTGGGATTCCATGTGGCATTGAGTATCAATTCAACCTCAACAAATTTCACAGCATCAATGCCAAATTTCATCTTGAAATGCATATCGCAGAAATATTAATCATCGAATGGCTTGTCCTGAGGCAAATAGAGTACATTAGGCTGTTTTTTTGGTGTTACAGAACCAAAAAATACAGACAAAGAAGAGACAAAAATATAAACAAATAATTTTAAAGTAATTTTTTGTATATTTACATGTTTTCTCAGCATTAACAATTTTCATCTCCGAGAAAATAAAATCGCAACCCTAATAACCTCTTCAATTACCGATGCACAATTTGCAAAGGCTAAGCCATGTTCAAAACAACAAAAAAAGCCATGCCTAGGTTTTAACTACCCCACCAAACTTCAACTGTAAAAATTCCTAGCTCGAAGACAAAACTAGCATGCATGGAATGAACATCTTGGCCACGTATTTAAATCTTATAACACAAACAGCTAAGAAATGAATTATTTTGGTTGGCTATTCTCCTGTGAAAGGTAAAAAAGGATTCCTCATGGAATAGAGCTTACGCATGCGCTTCATCGTTTGATTGGAGTGTGCAAAAATCAAAGACGCAGAGACAGAGAGACATGCCTTTCCTTCTGCTGCACGAGCTGACAAAGCAATCTTCAACCCCAAACGCCTCACCTTCTTGTTTAATTCAATAGCATGATTTTGTGGTTAAAGACCATGCCTGACAGCACCACCTCTAAACTGTGATCCAAACATTAATGTTAGGCCCGCCTAACTAATCTTCAAGTTAAGGAAGCATTGACACTCAAATAAAACAAAGATCAACAAGGGTGAAAGAGGCTCTTTACCTGGGGCCACCGCAATGTTCCATACCTTGCTCGGCCAGTGCCCTTTTGTCTATATAGCTTTCTTCCAGTCCCACTAACCTCACCGGTTGTTTTAGTTGAATGTGCTCCCTGTCGACAAATCAATGGATACCAGTATCAGAGGCATCCACTTTTTAAAGAGGAAGGCTTCACGTGCAGGTAGCAGATTTTTTTTAAGAACATGAAAGTTGACCCAATTAGGAACAAAATACTTGTCCCGGTTCATGACACATAGCAAGATAAGAACTAGCAAGTCATCAGACAGCTTTTCATAATAAACAAACCCAACAGGTTTTATCAATGATATGATCAGGAAGAGAGTTCTTCATTTGTCATAATCCATTAATTTCTTTGAAGATTTTAAGCATGGTGGTTTGAGACTACCTATTGTTGTTTTGCAAGCTGCCATCACACAACACGAAGAATAATATCATCCCCAATAGGGAAATCAAAAAACATCACCAGCCAAAACCATTAAGCCCTTGTCCTAGTTATGAAACTTTGTCGCTGGAATTACAAGGTCCTGATAAAGTCCTGTATCACAACATCATGTCAATATAATATCCCTGACTGTAATTATTTAAAAAAGAAAAAAAGATGAAGTCAATTCAATTCAGAGCTATTAAAACTTATGCAGTGAATCAATAAGCCCGATAAAATAAATCCCATTCTCACAATTTTATGTATACAAGGAAAGAAAATAACTAAAACTGTATTTAAATCACTCCCATCAGTCAAAACTCACGATGCAGCATCAACCAGTAAGAAAACTGAACTTTTATTGGATTGTATTCACATGATATTGCATGTTCCATGGAAAAGATTAAACAATATCATGGAGGACACATAACATGCAAAAATAGGTGAATTGGCAGAAGGAAAAAAAATATTGCAAGAGTTAGAAGCCCCTTCAGCATGTGATTTTTTTCCTTTTTCCTCTTCCTTATAAATTTGATGGGGGAGAAGTGGTAATCATTAATAACAATCTGAAGTAAGATACAACTGTTTAAGAACTGAGGTCAAAACTATTCTACCTGCCTTTTCCTTAGTTTTTTTTTTCCTCATTTAATCAGGAAGCATCCAACTAAAATATCAGTCTAGAAAAAATAGCTAGATAACTGTATAACTGGACCGACTACACGACTGGGATTTGATGATATTGTGTAACCACACCAAAAGAGTTGAAACCAGAACCATATTAAGTTGTTGGTTCGAGAGTCTCTGTTCAGCAGCAAGTTAAAAAAATAAATGTTCCAATCCCAATCACCCTTTTATCATTTAATACCACAGGGAGGACTCCATTGAACTAAATGTGGAGAAATGCAAAACAAGTGCACAACATATCACTGCATTGCCATACAAGTGAAATTTAAACTCTCTTCATAGTCCGTACCTATGTCACATTGTGGCGTTACCACATTCTTTGCAGATAATAAATCAGAAGGAAACTATCCATCAGTAGATTCAGGTTGAACGCCGAAACCCTTCCATAAGCAAGGGAAGACCCCCCACCCTACATTAAAACATGCAATACCATCAGTTCATGACTTTATCAGTCGAAGCAAATCCAAAACGAGTTTTGACAAGGTGCACATAAATAACCCACATCCTCCAGGTTCAGAATTTGATGTGGGCGAAGAAGGAAAAAATTTAGAAACAATGAGTACAAACCTTGATAAAGCTAGAAGATTCTGCAGAAAATAAACAATCCCCGGAAAAATGTCCATACAAATCTGTTACAACAAAGGTAAACAAAATTTAAAAAAAAAAAGAAGCTAAAAGGCTAAAAATCTAAAAAAAAAAAAACACAGAAAAAATTCCAGGAAAGCAAGTTCCTTTACCATGAGAAGCTCGACATGATTGACTAGTGAGACTAGAAGAATCACCACGGCGACCAAGCCGAGAGCAGGGTCCAAAAGAACGCAAAATCCTTCTCGAAATCGACAGTCATAACTCTAACTACCTAGAAGCACAACTCCACTGATCCAAGCAAGCCAACGCCACTTCACCTGTTCATCTATTACTCAAAAAGTTCAGATTTTTCACTTTTTATACTAGTAATAAACAGAAATATTGAAACCCAGATTGGATTATTGACCATTAATTATGATAATAAAATTTCAAATTTTCATAAAGGAAATGAAAAAATAATTATAATGACTGCTAGGTGTTTGATAAAATGCTTCATCAAAGAATACAAAGGTAGCTCAGGATATGTTGCGGTTAAAAAGGAGAGTACCGTGAGATGAAACCTTGAATGTAGAAATGAGACCGATGATTAATAGTATTCGATCGTCCTCCAGCCGGAGAGGATCGTTTTTGAGAGAAAGGAAGCACTGTAAGAGTGGGTGAGAGGAGAGGATAATAGCAAAGCAAAAGCCCAAAGCTTTCTTCCCATGGGATTTCGTGGGAAGTTTAATGGGCCACTCCCCTCTTGACAAGAAGCCTTTGAGAATTATGGGCTGCTTTCAAAAACGAAACATATGCTGTTTTTTTTTTTAATTTTTTTATTTAAGATAATTCAATTAACTCATAACAAAATCTAAATTACAAATCAAAAAATTAACTCAAATTAATATAAAAAAATATTTCTTTGACCACAAAAAAACAATTAATTTTAAAATAAATTTATTTTAAGTTGATAGAGATTTTTTATTGAGGCATATTTTATAACAAGAAAATATGTAATATATAGAGTAGTGAACAAAATGACCATTCATTCAAAAATTAGCTTGGAATTTCAAATGAATAAAAAAAATCATCCATTTTCAATTGAATGAAAGCATCTTTCTACAAAAAGAAGTTTTCTTATGGTTTTTTTTTTTTTTCAAATGGAGAATTACAATAAGAACGCATAGAGCTTGTTCAGTCAAATCGCATGATGCATTATTTCATGATATTTAGATGATAATACTTGAGCATGCATGATAATAAAGTGTTAGCAAGCATGGTATTGATCTATTTATACCTTGTCTGCCGTCAATATAAATAATATTTTTTTTCTTCAAGAAGAAATGTTAGCAGCGAAGTTATTTTATCCAGGTTATGAAAAATATGATTTTATTACAGGTTCTATATATATATAATACTGGTAAATGAGGTATTGGAGGAAAATTTGAAGTTAAGTTTTAATATGATTTCTGTAGTTACATTTTAGGTATTAGAAGATGAAACTATGGATTTAATAAATGCATTGGTAGAGCATCCAAGAGAAGGGAAGAAAATCCATTTTCTTTCTGAATAATTACAAATCAAGGGAAGTAAGTATATTATACAGATGAAAAAAATTTGTGATTAGTTCGATGTATACATGGATGTCTTTTCAGTACTATGCAAAATATTCAAATTAATTATTCTCAAAAAATATAAAGTTAATTATTAAAAATACAAAACCTATCAACAGGCGTGAAGACTAGAGTAGATTATTATAGAGCTTGCAATGGATTGATAAGAGTATTGTTGCAATAAATTAAAATTACATGAGATTTAATTTTTTCTTGGAAATTTGTACTGAAAGTAGTTTGACTGGAATTTATTGAATTAGAAACTTTCCAAGGAAATTGAATCCATGGAGTTATTTATTGAAATTCAAATGAGATTGGTTATAGTAAAATCAGTAACATTCTAAAAACCTTTCTTCTCAATCTTGTTTCCTTTTAACAGATATTCTACTTCCTTTTTCCTTCAAAATAAACTGTATCGTAGAACTAACATCAAATCCCCAGTTCGAGATCCAAATAAACCATAGCAGGAATGTTACAGTGCTTGTGCTTTATCAAATGAGAATCTAGTAACTTCTCATTCCCCTATATACAATGTAACAGATAGAGCCATTAAATTAGATCTAACCCTGCAAGTCGACCCTTCAAAGCCTGGTGGTCTCCAGACCCCTACCAAGTTACCAGATAGGGCCCCTTTTTCCAGACTAAATCCCAGAATTTTGTCCAAAGTAAATACGAGACCGTTATTGAACTCCCCTCTGGGAAGTTTCAAGACTCCCACAAGGACGTGTGCAAGCAGCAGACACATAACATGATGATCAACAATCGAAACAATAAAGACTAGCATGAAAACTTGATGAATAGAACATCGACCATCGCATGAGCAAGAGCTCATTTCAGCCAAAAAAGAATCAGTGTAAATGGGAAGTGGAGCCATATGCAACGACAACAAACGTTGAAACTGTAAGCTTCAATTTGATATCCATGGCTCCAAAACAGGCTTAAGCGGGATATAATTCATGCAAGTACAATAGCAAGGAGCCCCCAGTTGATAATTGACATTTCTTTATGCCCTGAAAGTCTAAAACCTAGCAGGAACCAGGCACCTATTTGACCACACCCATCCATAAACACCACTTGAGAGTTGAGAACATTACTATACTATATATATGTATATACTTGAGAGACGGGCTGGTTTCACAGCATTCAACTACATTAGATAGCCTCCGGATGCATAAAAGTACACAACATATATAATTTGCATGTCAAATGGGGCAAGTGTATTAAGAATTTCACTTGCATTCCAGCAGTAAAGATCAATCATGTATCATGAATGATCTTCAAAGCAGTGTGGGAGAGATGTCCATTGGGAAAGGATTGCCCAAAACATTATCCATGTAGTAATGAGGATGGCCGGCATCCATCACCACAAACTGCATGTCTTCCGATGGTTTCCAATGTCGTTTCCTTTGGTTAATGAACCAGTTGTTTATTTGCTTCTGATCCAGACCAGTGGATTCAGCAAGGGCCAGCTTCTGCGACTCCTGTTGACGCATAAAATAGCTAAAAGATCTATGAACAAAAATATGCATAAACAATTGTCAAACATAATGTAATCTCCCACACAAAGTGACGAAGTATCTAACCACCTACTTACAAGAGCTGAATTACTTGTAGTTTGCACTTCAAAATAAAATTCCACTCGGCACAAACAAATTTGTGAGAAAAGGTTTGAGAATCATCCGCAGCGACCAAAAACGTCTTTGAAAAAACAAGTAAATCTAAAACCAAGGGGTAATCAACCGAGGGGAAGCAAACTAGGGTTAATTTAGATCCAGTAAAAAGTCTTCATGAACCACTTGTCGCGTGAAACAGAAGCCAATGATGAGAGAAAGGAGAGGAGAAAAATTAGCTTTTACAGTGCTATGACATGAAGAGGGACATAAATGCTTCCCCGGCTTCTAATTCTTGCACTAGGGCGCAACAAAATATGGGATTGACGAAGTTCGGTGACCAAGAACATACATACCGATGGATATGGCCATTTGTAATGCCTGCTCCACCAATCCAGCAGCTGTTGCCTGGCTTCTTTCGGTAACTTCCCTTTCTTTCTCTTTTTCATGAACTCCTGCTTGAGACTGCCTAAATATCCACTGTACCTGCGAAGTAGCTGCCCCTTCAGTTCTTGATCTTCAGCTTGAGGATCTATGAAGTTGTTGTTCACATCAACCTCTTCTTCAGATGACACATTCCTATCATTGCCATCACCACAACCTGATGACAACATAAATGAGTTAGCAGCTCAAAACGCATTAAAATGTCCAATGAGAAGTTACCGCAGCAACTAGCATGATATTTTCTTAGTAACTGTGTGTTGAAAGACAGTAAAGCAGCACCCATACTGCTGCTGCAACAGGAAAACCCTACTCCATTACCACTTACATATGGAACTATACAATTATTTAAACTTCCACCATTTTCATGAAAACGAGGGAAGCTCGTCCTTCAAATCTATTTACTAGTTCGTACTTTTTTCATGAATTACAAGGCAAGAGTCAGTAACACATTGAATGACAGTTGATTCTGATGAACCATTCTTAAAACTCTAATCAAACAACCATTTCCCTAAAAGGTTTATGAGAAGTATTGGAGTAAACTATACTATAGCAATAACCTAAGACAACGAAATAGATCCTTGCATCAATGAGTCAGGCTTCATGAAAATAGATAGACAAAACTCAGGCAGATTAGGGTTTCGTTGTTAAGATTGAAAAACAATCCACAAACTCTTACACCTTGTTCACGCTCATGCGATCCAGCATTAATTAAAGAATCATGGCAGTATCACTGTACCAACTAGCGAGCATGAATGAAGTCCATTAATATTTAGGAGATGCAAATAAAACGTATTGCATTTTAATTACAACAAATGGACTTACTAACAGTCCAAGTCCATTAGAGGCCTATAACTGCTCGTTTTCCGCCTCTGTGTATCTTGCTCCGAAGCCATCAAAGTTCGAAGAATATATGAATACATCTTAATCCAAAGAGGACTGCATTACTGTCCATGCAGAACCAGATAGACCATGAAATTCTACCTAGATGCAACATTTAACACACAACACTCTTATAAGAAGACACTTACCTTGTAATAAGGTTGGAAATAAGCTCACAGATTAATATAACTCTAATTTAGCTATGATATTATTACTTGTATTACAGAAATCTTTCAAGAGGGAGAGACAACGTCCCTTAAATACAAGATTATCACTACAGTTCATTATGAGAAATAAATGAAAGATTGTGAATCAAATTTAATCCCTTGACATATATTGTGATTTAGGTATCCTATGGGAGAACCCACTCCAATTCTAGCAATACTAGTGAATTTGCTGTCAAAAGAACAAAAGAAGACACTACAAGCAGTCCTGATTTCCATAAAATACACAACCACTAGTGAAAAGGTCCTTTTACAATGGATGCAGATCTCCTTCACAAATCACAAGTCATCCGCCTCTAATCGCATCACTCCCATCCATGTTTCCGTCGTCCTCATAAGTTTTAAGCTCGTGATCCATAATCTGAACACTAAAATTCTCAAGGAACCCTATAAATATTAACACTATTATCCCTCACCTCGCTAAAATATGATCACTTGTGTAATCTCATGTATTTTCAAAACTTTAAACATTCAAGCCCTGCAATTGCCATCTTATCAGCGAGATGCATGCGTTGCTTTTTACGAAGAATCTTCTATGCAATCGAGACTCTATCAGCCAGATATTAAACTAGCAATCTTCAAAAGTACTTAAAATTGTATGGCAAAAACGCATATAAATTATAAGAACCTAGCTTTCAACAACAGTACTAGTACAATATTGATTGGAAATAAATGGGTCAATATCTACCAATACAGGAAGTAGAGTTGAAGAAAAACAAAACAAAATACACAAGCACCGAGAAGAGAATCAAATCAGAGAACATCAACCCTACCACCGCATCGACGTTCAGCAAGAAAGACCGTCTTCTCTATGGATACCCTACCACCTCAAACAGTTCCATCTAGGGAAAGGAAAAAAAAAATGTACATGCCAGGGAAATAAATATAACAGCACCCACTTGGGGAAACAAGCTCTTCGATGTTGTTAATTAATCCTTCTTGGAAAAAAACACATGCATGAAGTCCTATTAGTATTTTATTAAAGAATTAAATCAA